AGCAGCAGCAGGAGTAGGAGTAGCAGGAGGAGGAATGGTAGGCGTAGCAGCAGTCATCAGCAGTCATTGGCAGCAGTAGCATCAGTATACAATGTGTATGTCTTGGCACCAACTTGGTCGAGAATCTGCTGACTTCAAAAGGAGCCAAGCTTCGCTCAGCATGAGGTCGATCGTCACCAAGGAGCCCGTGTCCCGATGGTGATGGTCGGCGAGGCCTGAGGTCGGTCATCCGGTGGATACAGCAAAGCGAAACACAGAGAGAGACAGAGAGAGAGTGAGAGAAACAGTAGAGAAAAAGAGAAATGACAAGTGAGAAGGAGAAAGAAACAGAAAAAGACATAACGAAAGCAAGAGGAAAAGGAAGAAAGCAAGAGGAAGGGGAGAAAAAGCTCCGCCTCCGCCATTCAGGTACTCGTGGTGCTCAATGCACCTCAGGACGCCCAACCATGCACCCGTAAAGAAGCCTTATGGAGCCCTCGTAGATCAAAAAAATAAGGGGTAGAACAACCCTTCTGAAGCCCTAAGCCCTTACCGAACCCGTCTAGAACCCTGGTGAAACCTCGTAGAACTCTCATAAACCCCGAGATCGGGGTTTCGGAAATAGGGGACCCTAATAATAGCACCTTAAATAGTAGGATCCTTATTATAGGGACCCCACAGTAAGGGATACCTGAAATTCCCGCCCTAAACCCTAAACCCTGAACCCTGAACCCTGAACCCTAAACCCCAAATCAAAAACCCTCCACCCAAAATCAAAAACCCGATATGGTGCACCTTCTTAGGTCCGCCAAATAGTACGGCACCCTTCTAAAATGGGACCCTAAAAGGGATCCTAACATTTCGAGAACTACCTTAACCCACCAGAACCTACTTTTTTGTAGGGTCCCTATACACCCCCATATAAGGGTTTCTGCTAGTAACCTACAAAGAAGTGGGCTTGGGTCCGAAACCCTAAACCCTAAACCCTAAACCCACCTCAGGTTCCCCTCTTCCACCGGCATGGACCACCGCTCCTCGGAGTTGACTTGGGCCGCCAGCGCGCGGATCCTCCCCCCCCAAGAGTCGGGGGTTGCGGGAATTGGGGGCTTTAGGGCGCTATGGAGGTTGGGTTTAGGGTGTAGAGGATTTTTAAGGTTTTTAGGGCTTTTCGGGGTTTTAGGGTTTAGGGTCCCAAGCCCAAGCCCGAACCTCCCCCAAAAACCCAGGCGCAAACATCCGAATCTCTCCCTCGCTTGGGTTTAGGGTTTAGGGTTTAGGCCCCCTCCCTCTCCTGCTGACTAGCTCCGGCTCCCTCTTCTGGAACTCGCCGTTCGTGTGCAGGAAGGTGGTGGTCCACCTCGGAGCAGGCCATTACGGCAGGGCGGTATGAAGTTGCACGGAACGGCGTCTATGAATAGAGTTTAGGTAGTTGGGGCTAGAGGCTTAGAGAACCCTACAGCCCCAAAACAACGACCCTAAAATCTTACTAACCCAAAACACCTCAGCGATTTAAGTCCTGAACCCTCTAAAACCCCAAACTGCAGGCTTTGCTGGAAACCTCCAAAGGCTAGGAGAGGATGCTCCAAAGGCCCTAAAATTTTCAGCTTTGGGCCAGGGCACGATGCGCCCACCGTTGACCGGAGTTCGCCTCTTCGGGACTTGGCCTGAAGACCACAGACGGCTCCTCAGAACGGGTCCGCTTCAAATCCCGCAAACTCACACCCTACTTACATGCTACAAGCAAAGCCCCAAACCCTGAGCCTTGTAGGCCCTAGACCCATAGCCCTTGAACCCTCATCCCCTCGAACCCTCACCTACGCTGCAGTCCCCGCCCTTCATCCAACGGCTCTCCGAGTCGCGCATCTCCAGCACTACTCGCTCCAGGTGCTGCACCTTACTATGGCGAAAGGGCGGGGCCAAGGGAGATAGCTGCCTGGGGCTGATTACGTATAGGGTTTAAGGTTGAGGGTCCTTGGGCAGTTTGGGATTGGGTTCGGGGCTTAGGCATGCTTTGAGGGTTGGGGCCACGCTTAGGGTTCCGTAGGGTTTTCTCACCCAGGACTCTTCGGCCCCTCAGAGAGGACGGCTGTGCCAGAACTCCAAGGCTCAAGGCTTCAGCAGGCTTTCCGATGTCTCTGAAACATCCTCCCATCAACCCTCCTCTTTGGGCTTCTATCCCAAAGTCCCAAAGTCGGGACCAAAATAAAAGTCCAAAAAATCCGACAATACGTGGCCCTTCACACCTCCTGGACCGAAGCGGAAGTCTACGTCCTGGAGGCGAAACTAGACCCGTGTCCGGAACCATACGTCCTATCCCGGAAAGCGTAGATAACGAAAAGCCCCTCAGACCCTTATAACTTATGAACCCTAAACCCCCTTTAATCTAAGTTTAAAACCATGGGCCCCTAGTATGGGCCCTTAAGGCTAGGATCCTTATATACCTACTATATGCCCTATATGTATATACCCTTAAAGGTCCCTAGAATCCACTAATGGTCCATATTAGGGGCCCAAACTTCTAACCTTCGATCTAAAAACAACCGAAAACAACACCCTAAACCCCAAAGCCCCTGAGCGCTCGAAACCCCCCAAAGCCCGGAAAGTTCGACCTCCTCCTCGGAGAGGAAGTTGGGAATGCGCCGTGCCCTCGCTGCTTGGGCCTGCGGCTCGAGGGGCCTTTTGAGTTTAGGGCTTTGGGCCTTCGGATTTCGGGTTTAGGCCTTAGACCTTAGGCTTTTGGATTTCGGGTTTGGGGATGTTTTTGATTTTAAGGCGCCTTTTTCCGCCTGCCTAGTGGAGTCCAGAACCCTAAGTTTTGAGGAGACGAGGTCTAGGGATGCTTAGGGTTTAGGGTAACGCATTCTTCCTCCGCTCAAGGCCTTGGGGCTTGGGGTCCGGGGCAGGAAGACAGCATACTCACCCCGAATGGTCGGGATCTCAACAACACAAGGCAATCCACATCTTGGTCGAGTCATTGCTTTATGACCCCATAGTGAACTCCCGAAAAATGTAGCCTTGTAGTTTCGGCTGAATCGTGCTGAGAACTGTTTGTTGTGGCTTACCTTTACATGAGGATAATCTGGAGATGGTGTTAATTAATGAAGTGTGCTCCAGGCTTCTTGCTTCTACTCTCATCCATCCCAGACGGTCCGCGACCCCAACACTGAAATCTGACCTTCTCGAAGGGCATGGTGCCCCGCCCGATCGCCACGGCAGGAAGCTGTGTAGCAGCTGGGCGCAAAGATACTTCAAACTGGCAGAACGACGGATCTCAGGTTTATGGTCTAAAGTCTTCCTATCCAATATGAGCAGTGAGAAAGCGATAAAGCTTATTTTAGGGTTCAGACTTTCGGCCGAGACGGGCTAGAACAAGGATTTACGGTTTTGATTGGGGTAGGATCCGGAGCTTGGGTTTCGAGCTTGGGAGCTGAAGCGAGCCCTTGAGGCGTTTTTGGGCTTGCGACTTGGCAAGACCTTCAATATCAGGCTTATGAGTCTTTTGATAGCATCTCCCAAGGTGACTTCCGTTTGGTTGAGCTCCTCCGTCCAACCCCCAATCGATTTTTAGGCAGGGCGTAATTAGAGCCTAGATTTCGGTGAGCGATGAGGCTTTACGGTGTAGTTTCAACCGGCCCGGCTTCCGAGCTTCGTCCTTCAACACCAAGAAAGGAACCGACACGGGGCTCTGATCTGCAGAGTGATGCGACACAAAGGGAAAGCCTATAAGAACTCAGTAGAAGAAGCACCGCCAAATCCTAATCCAGTATAGCCATGCCCCCAAATCCGAGAACCCCCAAAACCTGGAACCCTGAGCCTCCAATCTGCAAACTAAACCCAGGACGAAGTTTATGGGATCTGCCCTTCTTACGGGTCCTCCTCGAAGCGACTGCGCTGCCCTTCCTCCACCATGCCTTGGCCAAGAGTCTCCCCCTTCGCCCTCAAGGGGGGGTTAAGGATTCAAGCTAGAGGTTTCGGCGGGGCAACAGTTCGGTGTACCTCCCCATTCTGGTCCCGTCTCATAGGAGCACCGTCCTTTTCGGCGGACCTTATCTAGACCCGTATCTGTAGTACCTTTTATTAGATGACTTATTATATGGTCAGGCTCCTACAATAAGAAACTATAGGGTAACCCAAAAAAGGTACTACATTTCAGGGTCTAGGTAATTCAGAGTACCCAAAACCCCCCTACCTAAACCCTAAACCCTAAACCCCCAACCCTAAGCCCCTACGGATGGTTCAGCTCAGACGCCCCCCATCAGCTCGAAGGGATCCCACTCGCCGTCGGACTGCACCATGGCTCTCTGGGCTCCCCGGAAAGCACCGGGGAGTCTCTGATAGGATAAATGCAGGGGCCTTCAAAAATTAGAATAGGGTTTTGGGGGGCTCCTTATTATAATAGGGTTTTGGGGGGTTCCTTATTATAATAGGGTTTTGGGGGTTCCTTATTGTAATTATAGTATACTTTACCCTACCCTCAAGCCCTATTCTAATTCTCAAGGCCCTATATTCGGCCGCGTTAGGGCTTTTTGGGGGCGGTCGGGAGGTCTGGGGGTTTCGGGCTTTGGGTTTCGAGTTGAGGGTGTTGGGGGTCAAGGGTCTATGCAACGAAAATCTCACCTTGAACCTGGTCTTGAGGATGCCCTGACAACGATGTACAGGCAGCCGCCTGACCGCCGAGATTCGGCCACTGTCACGCTTCCATAAACAAACAGCTGCGGCGGCAGAATAAGTTAACCCAGCGAATATACAAATTAGTTGTTCAACAGCAACTGTACAAGTACAGCAATGCATTCACATATTTAAGTCTTAAAGTAACGCGTCACATATTTACGTGACAAGTTGTGTCATTTGTACTTTCTTAAGTACGCCTTGTAAATACATGCCGCTGTCCGAAATCAAGCAGCACCAGTTCTCTGGCGAAGTCTGTACGGGGTGATGTGGGCTTCCCTGGCCGGATATCCCACGCGCCTGGGAGTCGCGCTTGCGAGGAGGTCGCATGCGACCTCAGAGGCATTGGGAGAGCCGACTTCGCATGGATGCAGTGGCGGAGGTGGTTCTGTCAGTCTCAGGTCAAGGCCAGAAGCTTCAGCATGCACTTCCTGACGTTGGGCTGTTCGGCCAGGGACGGCAGCATGTCTGATATATCACCTGCCTAACGTTTGACGACACGGTGGTTGGTCAGCTGACAGGACGGAACAACACCACACCACAAAACCGGCACGCCCCGAAGTTGCATGAACAAGTTGAAGACACACTCTCGACATCTCTCGACGGAAAGAGCTAGCATCGAGTCTTAGCCTATAGCATGGCGAGAGTACAATACGGTGGAGTATAGCATAGCACTCCCTAAACCCTAAACCCTAAACCCTAAATCCTAAACCCTAAACCCTAAACCCTAGCAGAGCAGAGTGCACACAATACAAACTCGATGCTGCCCTCCCGCAAGGCCTCCTCCGCCAGCTCGCCTGTCTCGCCTTTCAAGGCTTTTTTTTCTAAGTGCAATGGCCTTTTCTGTGCGAGCCAGCCTGCATCTTTCGACGCCTACGTTGAAGAACTTTAAGCCTTCGGGCTTGAAGCCTCCAATTTGGGGTTGGAAGATCACGCTGGCTTTGGATGTAGTCGGCATGACGGTAGTTTGTGCGGTTGCAGGCTAGCTGTGCAGTTGTACATGTGTCAACAGTGCCATCACCACCCTCATCATCCTCCTCATCTTCATCGTCAAAAAGACCACTGCCGTCACCACGATCACCAGCAACAATGACAGTCGCAGTAACTTCACTGTCATCACCACCACAATCACCAGCAGCATCACCACCAGGCAAGTCAGTACCAGCGCCATCATTACCACCATCAGCATCGGCACCGTCGTTGTCGCCACGCCCATCATAGAGTCGCAAACCTCCGCCTGTTCTTCCTCCTCGTGGTCAACAACACCAAAAACCCACGAAATCAACCTGTCTTTTTATCTTCTTCTTCACGTGCGGCAGAAATGTCACTCCTGTCCTGCCGGAGCGGTCTCAATCACCATCGCCATCCTCATCGCCATCATCATCCCCTGACGGTCATCGCTATCACCATCATTCCCACCTTCATCACCAACCTCATCGAAAACAAACTGACAGTCGAAAACAAATTCACACAATGCGTCGTCATCATCATCCTACCGCAATTGCCCTTGCTTTTCATTGGCTTAGTAATACTGCGCTGTTACTACAATGACCCCGCCAAGCAAGCGCATGCTTCTTCTGACTAAACCATAGCGTAAGTACTCTCAATATGACCCTAAACCCTAAACCCTAAACCCTAAACCCTAAACCCTAAACCCTAAAGCCTAAACCCTATGATGTTAAACATAACTCAGGGCAGTCGTCCAGCTCACTGCTCCGGTCTTCTAGCCGATTACAAGATCCCTGTCGGACCTTGTCTGCAAAAAACCTACGGACCCCTGCAAAGGCCTAAAATAAAGAAGAACCTTAAGTAAGGCGTCCTCATCCATTTTGGGCCAATCTCATGCCCGACCTTCGGCATCTGCCTCCGGCGCATCCGAAGATGCCGCAGCTTCTGCCGGGCCTGGCAATCTTTCTCACAGCTTCTTTTCAGGGTTCAGGGCTCCAGGAGTTGATGACATCAACCCTCGGCTCGCAGTTCTTCATCACTGCAATCTCGCCGCTGCTGTAGACAAATGACAGCTGTTCTTGTGATTGGTGTTGATCTTCGTGGGTGCCTTTGCTGCTGGCTCCCTTGTCCGCTGAATCTGGAAGTGGTGATGAAATCTCTACGATCTTCAAAGAAGGCTCCAGCATACTCGCATTTCAGTTCCTCCACTGCTCAGAGTGTTAGATTCGGAAGTTGAGGGCTTAGGCTCACTCGGCAACAGTGCCAACGACTTTCGAAGTCTCCCAACATCGAGGACCCCCCCGATTGTGCCCTTTAACCGTGGGGGGACTAGGATTATGTACTTGTAACTGGTCGTGGTGCCGCAAGTGATGCAAGCTTTGAGAAGATTTACTGGGTACACCAACATCATATAATTACAGTAAATAAATACAAAAACAGCACACATACGCAGCTGGCACGAGCGTTCCTGTGCGTAGGTCTGCACGCGGTGAGTGTGTGTGTGTGTGTGTGAACCTCCCTAGCACATGGGGCCAGAGGGTCACTCCTACACAGTTTCATGGGGTTGCAGGGGGGCGGAGGGAGTGTGGGGGTGCTCCGCCCAACGAAGCTGCC